GTTGGAGAGAGAAGTGCCACTGTTGGTGAAGCAAGGGTTTTGTTAAAATTCAGGGTGTTCAAGTATTCTCATTCTTTGCCTTTGAAAGTGATTTGTTCACCTGTTGGTGATGGGGAAATTTGAAAAATTCTGAGTGTTTTCTGGTGGTTCTTATATTCTTTGTGGAAGGCATATTTATGTCTCGAAACCATACAAAAACTGCAGTGCGATTGCCAACTAGTCATACAGGGATAAGGTATTAGAAAATGCACTCTTGTGGCTGTTGTATGTTGCAGTGCCTTGTGGTGGTTGCAGGTTTGAACTTTCTATATGTACAGTTCTTTGTGGACTGTTACTGCTGTTGTTGCCTGCATTGATTTTTGCCTCCATTTATTCTTTATTGCAGTCTAAAAGTTGGTTTTAATTGGTTGCCCACAGGATTGGCTTGGCTTCTGCTACTTGTTAAGAAAAAACATCTGTCTTTGCAGGTAAGAGCCTTTGAATTGAAGACTTCTTTATGTATGAGTATATCTTAAGAAATATTTGAAGCTTTTGGAATCTGTGAATTGGTATCCAAACACTTGGGTCAAATAATCTATAGCTTGTTGCTTTACTTTGACTCCAACTGGTGATGGTGGTTCTGCCAGTGTTGTTCTCGTAAACAGAATTTTCTGCCAAACTAATGTTTTGTTGTTTCATCAGCATGTGGTAGTCCGGAACGCTCTCCCAGTTATTTTACACTTGAAAAATGTAGCTACTTTGCTGCAGGCCACAGGTCTGCATGTTCTAACTATCGGAGTTTAGAAGTGTACAGCAATTGGTTCTAATTAGGTTTTGCAGCATTTAAAGGGATCATACAGTTTCAGATTAGCTCACAGATGACTGTCTTAGTCTGACAGGTTGATTTTAGCCTTTTTTTTTTTTTTTAAAAAAAAAAAAAAAAAAAAGCAAAGCTGTAGTCTGCAGTTTTAGCTTTTGCTAGACAGTCTCGCCTGGATACTTAAAATTCCTCCTACAATACCAATGTTATTCCAGTTCTTAGTCTTCATCCAAGAATTGCCAAATACATTGCGTGTGTGTACTGCGTGGGTATTGTACTTTAATACTCCCCAGGGACTAAGCTGAATCTTCTAAACTCTTCTTAATTTGAAAAATGCATACATCTTAAAAGGCTACTCAGGTGTTTTTATCAGTTTGTGCATATGACCCAAATTCTTATTTTACTGACTAGCACATAGATGGAAGAGGTAATATTGTCATCTTGAACACCTTTTTTCCAGTGTAACGTCAACATTTTTAAAGATGTTACTGTCAAGATATAAACATGCTGTTACAGCTCATCAGATGAGTTAAATCAGGTTGATTGTTGGTAGCCCTTTAGTTCATTTTTGATCTTGGCTTGCTAATGGGGATGGATTGTCCACAGTACACTAGGATTTTGTGCTTCTGGTCTCTCCAAAAATATACCAAACACACAAAATGGCAACAAAACCCACTTTTGCCTTGAAGTACCTTTTTGTACAGGGGGAAAAGCAGGCAGTCTGAGAAGATCTCTAACAGCCCAACAAAAAAGCCTTCAGTGCACTTAACAGGCATGTAGCCAATTCTGTGTCTGAAGCTAATGTTGCCTCTGCATGTATGTTGATCTTTACAAGTGAACAGGGAAATACTTGAGCAGGCTTTGCTTTTTATTAGTTGGAAAATCTGAGTGGGTTATTGTCTCGTAAGTGCATTTTGGAAAAAAACAGACTTGTGAGTGTTCAGAAATGTACAATTTGGCTCTTGGTCCTTGTGATTTTTTTTTAAGTCATAGCAACGAAACTAAGACTTTGTTAAAGCACTGAAATCCTGAAAAATTTGAAGCAGTTATGTTTTCAGTTGGCAGAATATTCTTTTGCCAAAAATATTTGATGAAGTCCTTAATTCTTTTTATTCATACCATGCTATTGTTAGCTCTTGCTTAATAGCAAGCATTTGCTTAATATAGTGCATGGAATTAACAATGTTGAAGTAATTGCAACTAGTTTTTTTAGCACCTGTATGCCCAAGAAGCTGTTAGGGGCTTTATTGTCAATAGTGTTTTAGTGGACCAAAATAGAATTCTTAGTAACAAAACTACAAGATACCACTTAGCATTTATAATGAAGTTTTGAATTTAGTGCAAGATTGAAACACTTATTTTATCCCAGAAGTTATGTAAATGTTCAGATGCTTGAACTCTTAAGAATTCTTTTGTGACCTTATCCGTTAATTTGTCTTCTAGGCTAGATTCCTGGGATCATTAGTAACTGCAGTTATCTAGCAAGTGTCAGTTCTGATAAAGAATATATGGTGTTCTAAACCAGCACATTGGAGCAGAAAAACCTTCCTAAATTGCCTTTGTTCAGCTAATGGCCATACCAGATTGTCATCCCTTTTGCATTAGTAAGGCAATAACTAAAAGTAATTTTCCATTTAACACAAGAAACTTAGCATCTTAACTCCTGATGCATAAAAATTTCTGAAACTACTTTCTTTGTATAATAAGTAATAGAGAAAATGTAAACCTTCTAGCAAGATTTGCTGTTGTTATTGTTTTAGTTTTCAAAGCATAGGTGCAAAACCAGGCATGCTTTTATAGTGCTTGCTTGCCTCAGGATCATCCAATTCAAAAGCAATCCTGTGGCATAATGGAGTAAATTTTGGTTTTACAATACCCTTTAGTATGGCTTCCTTAGAGTAGTCTGAATTTTCGTTTTAACTTTAGTTGCAAAGATTGCTATCAAGGTTAGGCAAATTTAAAATAAAGCCACAGAATAATTGAAAAATAGTGCTGTTTTAAAGCAGTGTAAAAAGTCTTACGCTTTCTTAGATATGTACATAGCATAGATAGTTCTTACTTCGATGTGTTTTTTCTTCACATAGGCCGGTTATTTTGCTGTTGGAAAAGGATTGGGCAGTGAACCTTATTCTCAAGTTAAAAGTGTCACTATAAGAGATAAATGCAAGGATGCTGCTTTTGTTACCTCACCATGGAGATAGAAAAGTTGCTTTCAAAAAAAAAAATCCTTGAGGTTTAGTATATATTCTTTCTGTTGCGGCCATCCCTTGGTGGAGTAGGGTTTTTTTAGTGGTGTGTACAGTTAGACTTTTTTTTTCAGGCCTTCTCATGTTCGTCTTGCAAGTTCCAACTGTCTTTCAAGACCAGTGTAGTAAAGAATTAGATGTTCACAGTGAGTAGAGCAGGAGAGCTGACTTTGTGCCGATGGGCTTGTCTGCTGTTTCCTTGGTCTTCACACTTTTCTGGTGTCAGCTGGATGTGGGCCAATGCCCTGTAATACCCCAGTATGTTGCTTGAGTTCATTAGTGTATGGAAGTGGTTAGCTCTGGTTTATTGGGCAACAAAACAAAATACTTAAGTACCTATTTGAGTAACCTGAAGTTCCATTGTGCTAACAAAAGAATTGCTGCTTTTTTTTTTTTTCCCCTGTAGAATAATTGTTACTATTGTTGTCATTAAGTACTGAATTCAGCCTTACCTGGTGTGGTTAAATTGTTGAATAGTGTCTTTGCCTAGTAGTTAAGAATGTATTCAAGGCGTGGCTGTTCTAAAGCAATTGGAAGACCTGGACAGGCAAATGCAGGTGACTTAAAGATTTGACTGTATGCTGCGATACAATACTTAGCTGAATGTGGAATGTTGGGAGATAGTCACTGATTAGTTGGTCATAGCTTTGGTACACAGCCAGAAGTCTTTGGTGCACTGCTTCCTGGTGTTGCATTGTATCATCTGGTTCCTCCTTGATTTCAAATGCTGTTAATGCTATTTGTATGTGACTAATGGGAGCCTCGGACATCTTCCATACAGATACTGAACTGGCTTGTACTTAGGAAGCCAAGAAGTTTCAGAGATGAAGTTGCTCAGGTGAAACAGGGTGCTACTGCTGATGGTTTAGGATGAGAGGCTTGGATTCTGAACTGGTGAATAGTGATAGTATTAATATGATACTTTCAGTCTTTGTCAAGATTTACCTAGCTTCCTGTTTATCCTGAACCTCTGTTATGACTTCAGGCTCTTCTATAGAAGGTGTAGAATGTAACTGTCAAGATCTAGCTGTTCAGAATTCATCTTAAGCTTCCACTAACCTCAGCTGCAGAGGTAATTTACTTGTGCCCGAGATGGAAGGTGTAATATTAGAACATCTGCAACTATGAAAAAATTGACTTGGTTTTGACAGTTGTAAAGGTCAAATATAAATAGGATGTGCATAGGTGTTAATCTAGTTTAGGTGAGGTTTATATAGTCACAAAATGACTGGGGCTGGTTTAAAATGGTTAGCTAGCTTTGTGGTCACCTAAACCTCTTGCTTTTGCTAGGAGAAAAACAGATCAGCATAATCTAGATGATCCCTGTCAGGATGGTCACGTGAGTCTCAACTGTTGCTAGTTGTCCATACTGGGTTTTTGTTTGTAACCAACCCTCTGTTATGTTCTTCACCTGGCAGGAGATAAAAATCCCCCCTGTAGCCCCCAAAATGAGAGAACTGTATATTTCTCATAAGTTAGCAGAATTTGTCACAGTTACTTCGCCAGGTACAGTGAATACCATATCAGTGTATGGTAAATTAATTACGTTTGCTTGGCTATAAAATACTCATGTTGCTTATGTTCCATTAAATATTCAACTACTGATATAATAGTTCTGAATTTTACTGTTCCTTAGGTTTTTGGGTTTTTTTACTGACACTTGTGGGTCTTAGTTTAACAGTTATTTTGGAATTTCTAGTGCAAAATGTAAACTGATTTGTGTTGGTAAATGTTTAATACTTCAGTCTGTATGAAGTAAACATGAATAAGGAACTTGGAATATAAACATGCTAATCTTTACAAGATGTTGTTAGGTGTATGTAAACAAATATAGTAGATGGTGTCTGTAGGTAATTGCATGGTGTCATAAACAGTAGTCTGACATAGCCGTTGCCTTTTCTCATCTGCAGGTGTGTGTTGTTTCAGCGCAGCATGGCTGTGGTCATCCGCTTGCAAGGTCTCCCGATTGTGGCGGGGACCATGGACATTCGTCACTTCTTCTCTGGATTGACCATTCCTGATGGGGGCGTGCATATTGTAGGGGGTGAACTGGGTGAGGCTTTCATCGTTTTTGCCACTGATGAAGATGCAAGGCTTGGTATGATGCGCACAGGTGGTACAATTAAAGGGTCAAAAGTAACGTTATTGCTGAGCAGTAAAACTGAAATGCAGAACATGATAGAACTCAGTCGTAGGCGTTTTGAAACTGCCAATCTAGATATGCCACCAGCAAATGCTAGCAGGTCGGGACCACCACCTAGTTCTGGAATGAGTGGAAGGGTTAACTTACCTACTACTGTACCTAACTTTAATAATCCTTCTCCTAGTGTAGTAACTGCTTCTACTACTGTGCTTGAAAGCAATAAAAACATATCCACGTTTTCTACTGCCAGTATGGGGACTGCACCTCCAAATCTTGGGAGTACCTTTGGTAGCCCAACATTTGGCTCAACTATACCTAGCACAGCATCCCCAATGAACACAGTACCTCCTCCACCAATCCCTCCCATCCCAGCTATGCCATCTTTGCCACCAATGCCTTCTATTCCTCCAATACCTGTTCCACCTCCTGTACCCACACTGCCTCCTGTTCCTCCGGTTCCTCCGATACCCCCTGTGCCCCCCGTACCTCCAATGACACCTATGCCTCCCATATCAGGAATGCCTCCTATGAATCCTCCACCCGTAGCACCTTTACCCACTGGAATGAATGGGTCTGGAGCAGCAGTGAATATGAACAGCGGCTTGAATCCATTGTTTATTGGTCCCATGAATCCTGTAAATGCTATCCAGATGAATTCTCAAAGTAGTGTCAAGCCAATTCCGGTCAATCCAGATGATTTGTATGTCAGCGTTCATGGAATGCCCTTTTCTGCAACAGAATCTGATGTGAAAGAATTTTTCCTTGGGCTCCGTGTCGATGCAGTCCATATGCTGAAGGATCATGTAGGCCGAAATAATGGGAATGGACTAGTTAAGTTTTTTTCTCCTCAAGATACATTTGAAGCACTGAAGCGAAACAGAATGCTGATGATTCAGCGCTATGTTGAAGTTAGTCCTGCAACAGAGAGACAGTGGGTGGCTGCTGGAGGCCACATAACTTTCAAGCAAACCATGGGTCCCTCTGGGCAGTCGCACCCTCCTCCTCCCCAGGCCCATTCTAGGTCCAAATCTCCTAGTGGACAGAAAAGGTCACGGTCAAGATCTCCCCATGAGCAGGGTTTCTGTGTTTATTTGAAAGGTCTTCCCTTTGAATCGGAGAACAAACATGTGATAGATTTTTTTAAAAAGCTGGATATAGTTGAAGACAGCATTTATATAGCTTATGGACCTAATGGGAAGGCAATTGGAGAGGGTTTTGTCGAGTTCAGGAATGAAGCTGATTATAAAGCAGCTTTGTGTCATCATAAGCAGTACATAGGGAATCGCTTTATTCAAGTTCATCCAATTACTAAAAAGGCAATGTTAGAAAAGATAGATATAATCCGCAAAAGATTGCAGAACTTCAACTATGACCAGAGAGAAATACTCATGAACGCTGAAGGAGAACCAGGCTTGCCAAAACTGTGTGCACATATATCTAATATTCCATACAATATAACTAAAATGGAAATCCTTCAGTTTCTAGAGGGACTGGCAGTAGAAGAAAACTCTGTACAAATTCTCGTTGATAATAATGGACAAGGTTTAGGACAAGCACTGGTTCAGTTTAAAGCTGAGGATGATGCTCGTAAGGCAGAGCGTTTGCACCGTAAAAAACTGAATGGAAGAGATGTTGTTTTGCGTTTGATAACTGTAGAAGAAATGAGAGATATTGAGAGAAACCCACCATCTCAAGGGAAAAAGATACTGAAGATACCAATACAAGGAAATGCGACTGTGCCAGGAGCACAGGGCGCTGGTGGGGATGAGCATGCCTTCTTGGGGGGAAATTCTAAAGATGCAAACAATGGTCCTCCGTTTAATTTCCCTGGTAACTTCAGCGGGTCTGGCACATTCGGTCCCCCTCTACCTCCACCTGGAATAGGTGGCTTTCCTGATTCTAGACCAGGAATACCTTCAGTTGCAACTAGTGGTTTACCTGGTGCAGGTATTGAGGTCCCAGGTTTTGCAGGTGGTCCTGGTAATTTGAGTGGACCGGCAGGTTTTGCAGGGGGTCCTCAGACTTTTGGTAATGGTCCTGGCAATTTAAGTGGACCCCCTGCCTTTGGTGCTGGTCCTCCTGGAATTGCTAGTGGTCTTGGACATTTAAGTGGACCTCCAGGGTTTGGACCTGGACCAGGGAATATACATATTAGTGGACCCCCAGGTTTTGGAACAGGGTCTGGGAAGCCAGGACCAACTGTCATTAAAGTGCAAAATATGCCCTTTACTGTTTCTGTGGATGAAATTTTGGATTTCTTTTACGGTTACCAAGTGATACCTGGTTCAGTGTGCTTGAAATACAATGAGAAAGGCATGCCCACTGGAGAAGCAATGGTTGCATTTGAGTCTCGTGATGAAGCTATGGCAGCTGTTGTTGATTTAAATGACAGGCCTATAGGCTCCAGAAAAGTAAAACTTGTTTTAGGGTAGCTGTTAATATGAAGTAGTTGTAGAATAGATATTCATAGTGCTGTGATAAATGCATCTGGATTGGTTTTTATAGTATTTCCAGGATAGAACCTGTGGATTGTTTAAATTGTAAAACAGGTTGGTTTTGATAAGACAGAGCACTGGGTTAGCCATTACATAAGAAACACTGCAAGGATAGATGTGCAGTGGATTTTCCCGTACAAATATGTGGAGAAGCTAGACAGATTCTTAGATTCATCATAGAACTTTGGTAAACTATACTGGATACGGTGCTTATCAAGGAATCTCGACTGGTTTTATGTAGTTTTGGATAAGGGAAATAGATGAAGTCAGTGCAGCTCTTCAGTGGGTGCTCTTGCAAGCCATTGTAAAATAGATATTTCTAGATTTGGTTAAAGCTGGCTGAATTTGCTTTGTTTACAGGTCAAAGCTTTGTTTAAAGTCCTGATTTTACTCTGCAACTGAACGAATTCTCAGTGTACACAGATTAATTGTTTTGTGTATGTATCTTTTTTCCAAGATTTTCACTGTATGAACAGTTGAATTATGCCCATTGCTGATGTGTCTACCAAACTAATTCCTATAAGTATGAGCAGAATCGTTCTGTAAAATTCAAGCTGTTCTTTGTGGAATAACCTTTAGTTATTTATATATTGCAATTATAACTGTGCAGAATAAGACTTTTGCCACAAGTATAGTTAACCTCGAACATTATCATATGAGTTTTATAGTACACTTATAAAACATTTGCAGTAGAAGTAACAACTTGAAAATACTCATTATTGTTTAAGTAGCTTGATTTGTTAGGATTACATGAATTACTTGGGATAGGATCTTTGACACTAGTTGGATATTGATGTATTTCTCATGTGTCTCTTGAACTCCTTACATAGAGTCTCTGCTAAGAGAACCAAAGTGATGATTATTAGTAGAAGACTGGAGTCCAGCTAAAGTTTTTAATTAGTTTATTTATGAAAGAAACTTCTATCTTCAGCAACTCTGTCATGAATTACTGCTATGGGTGAATTCAGAGATAAAATTTATTTTTCTCCAAAAATTGAAAATACCGAGTTTACTATATATTTTTACAATAAAGTTGTGCTGTTGTATTCAAAGTCTGTAAAGAGTTGCCATTTTCTTTGCTGTGCAGTAAAACCTTCCATGGAAAAACAGAGAATTGGAAAGGTAGTAATTATGCAGGTGAAAAGTAGAATTATTTTGGTTCATCCTTGCTTGGCTTATGATAAATTTTAAGACTTAGGCATTGCCTGAAAAATCCTGCTATTCCCTGCAAATCATTGTACTTAAACATAGTAAACTCTAAACTGTTTTGTTATTTTTGGACAAAGAAAAACAGTGCCTTTTGGTGTTGCATATCATGGAACACTGAAGTGTATGGTCAGGCAAAATTGAGAGGTGCAAGTGGCAACAGTTTTATTCATGTGGTGTGTAGGAGAGATTCGAAAACCTGTGCAGCGCTGCATCCTGAGAGGATTTCACAGTACAGGAATATGTGGAAGGATTGTATAAAGGTGTACTTCAATAAAGAGGCGGTCGCATTACACGGATGCTTCTGTAATTCATTAGCATAATTTTGTTTTGACAGATTACTAGGTGGTCCCAACTTTTGAAAAGTCATGTGATTTGTATATACTGTTTAAAATTAAGCCTCCTGTTAATAAAACTGTCTGTCTCTGAAGCTTCATGTTATGCGTTTCAACAGTCTTTGGGAGTAATGTTTCAACAGCAGATCTTTGTTTCTTTTTTTTTTCTCTTTTGAAAGTCTGAAAGTACTCTTGCTGATGTCAGAAAGATGTGTGATTAGGAGTCAAGCCTTTCAGTTTATTTTAAAAATTTTGCTCTTTGTTTTTTAAACGACTTTTATTAAAGTTTCATACTATATTGGAGTTATTTGGGTGCTTGTTTCTTCATGTTTCAAATTAGAATAAAATTACTGAAAAGGAAAACTTGGCTTCATTGTTCACAGAATTGATTTAAGATATTAGTGTGCGTTGACTTGTGGAAACTGGTGATAACTTTTTTTCAAGTTCAAATGAATCACAACAATGCTTGCCTTGTTGTGAAATGTAATTAAACTACAGGTGTCTGGAATTAGGTACACAGTTCTGTGTTACTGTCTTGATTTCATGTCTTGATCCTCTTGGTAATTGATACAGGGTTATTAGTGTTTGTGTTAGACACGGCATATGCTGTGAAACATGCTTGTGTGCCTGTTCCTTTGGACTTTCTAAAAGTGCAGGTTTGTTTTGGAAATACTTCCTTTTCTGACTCTTGATTTTTCTGTATGGTCTGAAGATGTTTAAATGCTTACCCTATTAAAAAAAAAAAAAAAGCCGCAAGCCAATACAAACAGCCATTTGTGTTGGGAACATTGACATGGATGGAATGCTTAAGTGAAGGATTTGGGGTGGGGAAGGGGCTTTTCATCTTGCCAAGCAGTTGATGCTCCATATCTTT